TATAACTCTGAACTGCTTTCTTCCCCCACAGACTCACCCCTTCTTTTCTTCATCAATAAACAACATCATTACTTAGTCTCCTGGAACAGACTGTCAGTTTAGGATGACTTTAGCCCCTAGCTAACTGCTATTCCTAACCATCTTCTCTTTACCACCTTTTCACAGTTCCAACTTTCCAACCAACACTACAGTCTTACTAGATCCCACTCCAAGTAATTTCTCAAATGCATATCCCTTGCCTTTTATGACTTCATCCTGGTTTAATAATTAAATTATCTCAAAAAAGAGGTTTAGCATATACATATTATTCTGTTACTACCCTCTCTGTTAAGACACATCATGGATAGCTGCCATATGAATAAAATGTGAACCAAGACAACTTATTCTTTTAGTAAGTTAGCAACTTTTTAAGTTACTACAAAGAACACTGAAATGCCATATTTATTCAACTATTCTCTCATGCACGGTTGCTATCAGTTTCTAGCACCTACAGGGAGGTTTATAACCATCTGTAACTCCAGTTCCAGGGAACCCAGCATCCTCTTCTCACCTCCACAGGCACCAGGCAAACATGCAGTGCACTTACATGTATGCAGGCAAAACATACATTTACTTAAAAGTAAAAAAAGAAAAAGAACTTTAGATGGCTCAGTGCATAAAGGCACCTGCTGTCATACCTGTTGACCTGAGTGCAGGCTCTGGGACCACAGTACTGCAGGTTGTCTTCTGACCTCCACACATGTGCCACAGTGTATGCACACACATACATGTATGCACAGAAAATACATTTTTAAAACCTAATTTAAATATCCTTTGATAAAAGAAATGTTAACTATGCGTGCATATTTTTTTTTATCACTTTTAGTTACGGAAAAGTCCATGGCAGGACTGCTGGAATCACGTAACTGTCACTTGTCTCATCAAATGTCACCAGCAGCTTTCTCAACAGGCTGTAATTAATCATGCTCCCTCTAACAAGCTTTCCAATTGCTACATGACGTCAATCACCCGAGTCTGTCAATGTAATGGGTTAAAAGGGTATCCGGTCTTAATTTGCACTTCTCCAAGTCAAAACCAGACTACACCTGCTTCTTTATTTCCTCTGCTCATTTTTATATTGGGCCATTATATTATTAATCATTTTGTAGACTTTCTCTATATATACATTAAATCTGGCTGATAGTTTCTTCAATCTTACATATTTAGTTCAAAAAGTATATGAAACCAGAATCTATGAAAACTAAGGACTACTGTAAGAACTCAATACAAAGGCAGGCCCAGCATATAGCCCAGTGGCAGAGCCCTTGCTTGTCTAACACACAAACACACATGTGCACACACACACATACACACACACACATTCATATGCATATACACACATACCCCTACGGTAAATACAAGAGCAAACAAAAAAGTGCTTGTATGCACGTGAAAACTAATGAAAAGTTTGAAGGACTCTCTCTTAAAACATCCTATAGATCGATCTGTGTGGTGCTTACATGAGCAAAAATATCACCTAATTGTACACTTACCATTAATATAACTTATTACACTTAATGAAATTTTAAAGGTCATTTCCCTTCAGAATAGGAACATGAAATGGCTTCCTTTTGGCATTAACAAACTGCAAAAATGCTGGTGTCTGCTGTTTGAGAAGAAGGGTAAAGTCATCTTTAATGATTCTTCATTATCCAGAGAATGCCTAAACCATTTAACAATTGGCTCCACCCTACCTTTTGGTCTGCCTGCCCCCATCCTTTGTAGCAAATGCCTTGCACTGTGTGTGGTGTATATAAGAATTCATGCTGGTGTGTGCTCACGTACTAGAAGGCTGGAGGTCAACTCCTCCATCAATCACTCTCAGCCTGATTCTTTGACAAAGGATATTTCACCGAACAGGCTTTGATATGACTAGGTAGCTGACTACACTGTCAACCTGACTTTTACATGAGTGCTGGATTTTCAAGCTTAGGTCCTCTAGCTTTTGAGGCAGGCTCCTTATAAGCCATCACCTCATCCCCCTCATTTTTTTTTTTTTTTTTAACCGAGTTTTAAGGTAGCTCCTAATGGCTGATTCCTTATCTTTAGATCTAAGAAATGTCACCTAGTCAGATAAACTTTTCCTGATGTACCTATTTGGTGTGTCACAAACTGAAATAATCGTGTTCATTCTGAGTTTTCTAATTTATGTCCTCTTAGTATCCACCTGAACAAAAGCTTAGAGCACTGGTAACTTTCCCATAGGAATTCAATGCTGTATGATGGGAATCTCTGAGGTAGGAACAGGGGAAAATTTAAGAAACTAAGTCATTATTTAAAACAAAACCAAAAATCCACACTACCTATCACATTCTGCTGGAGACTATAAAAAACTTACAGCCCTAGAAGGCTGGTGAGAGCTAACAAAGTATATACACAAAGCATAAGACCTGAGTTTGGACCCACCAAGTACACATAAAAGTAAGGCATTTGTAACCTCGGTTCTGGAGTGCCAGAAACAGGTTCTCAGAATTTACCAGTCTAGCCAAGAAGAGTTCCAGGTTCAGTGAGACTTTGCCTCCTAAGGTAGAGAAAATTAGATGAAGACGTCTGACATTGACCGCTAGTCAATGGGCATTGGAATTTGCACATGCACACACACACAAATTTAAAGAGTTCCATCTCTAGTACTGGCATAAAACCAGGTGTGGTGGGATTTGCCCATAATGCCTAGCACTCAGAAGGAGAAAACAGGAAAATCAAAAGTTTAAGATCATCTGAGTTTGAGACCAGCCTAGAGTACATGAGACCCTGTTTCAAAAACAAAGTCCTGTGTGGTTGGTACACACCTTTGGTTCCAGTACTCAGGAGGTAGGTGGAGATCTATGAGTTGAAGGCCAGCTCAGACTACATAGTGAGCTCCAGAAAAGCCAGGAATACACAGTGAAACCCTGTGTCAAACGACTGAAACCAAAACAAAGCAACAATAACTGTAACAAAAGCCAAAACAGATCCTCATTCTTTTAATGTCATCTTTCCAGACTGGGAAACATTAGTCTCCTTCCTGTCTCTCTAGATTTGTTTGTCCTAGTCATTCTTCACATGAATCGTGTCATACCATGTGGTCCTTCGTGACTTTTTAGTTAGCATGTTTCCAAGATGCAATAGCATAAAACATATCAGCACTTTACTTATATTTATTGAAAAAAGATATGTATCATTTATGCATGCATTATTCAGCCATGCACCAGCCTGTGGAAATGTGAGCTATTTTTATTTTTTTAGCTATTTCTCCAGCCATATATATATATATATATATATATATATACATATATATATATATATGAGTGTGTGTGTGTATATATATATATACACACATACATACATACATACACATATATACACACACACATACATACACACACACACACACACACTTTGTGCAATGAACACTGGGTTATTATCATCTTGTCTTTTGGTTGTATTTCTAGTTATATAAGCTTAAGAGAATATTTTACAGCCTTAAATCTTTTCCCTCCATTCAACTTATGCATATTTTACTCTCCATTTGGTGAGTCTGATATTACCCAAAGTCAACATTAAGAGGGAAATTCTGTTATGTTTATACTTTCCCTCATGCCTAGTTTTCACACTATTGATAGTAGCATTACTAGCATTATGCTATCTTTTTCTCATAATCCCTGATATAATGTACCCTTACAACTCAGAAATAATTTATACAACACAATTTGCCACCCATTTTCATTTGAGAGTCAAAACAGCCCAAGTCAGTTCTCTCCTTACACTCTGTGGGTCCCAGGGTATCCAATTCAAGTCTTCTTCGGCAGCAAGCACTACACAAGTCCCCAAACTAAATTTTTAAAGGATAATTTTGTACTTCACAAAATCTTATTATACACTTTAGTTCTTCTAAATGATAAACACTATAAAACAGTATATGTCTGTACTGATTTAGATTTTAATTTTACAGAATTATTTACAGAATTACAGAATAATTACAGAATTATACAGAATTCTGTTAACCAATTTCTCTTCTGTTCCTTATTCACCAAGCTGGAATAAGAAACACTAAGACGTTACTCCTTTTCCACTACGAGACTCCAATTACTTTGAACCCAGAGATGCCAAACAGGGAAGGACCTTCCGCTTTGAGGCTTTCATTCCTCCTCTAACCTGACAGGCCTAGGTTTGTTGTACTTTTAATAAAAGCCGTGATTGATAGGACAGAGCACCAGTAACAAACAAGCAGACCAGTTATTACAGTGAAAGAGCAGACTATGCAGGGAGCTGACACTAGATTGACTTGCGTAGTCCGCCACTCCTGTGTCAAGAACTTTTTCTTGGCAAGTCGTCTTCTCTAGGAACAGTGGCTGTAGGTTCTCTTGAACAGCAAAGGCTGCCGTTTTTAAAGGGCAAGACCCTAAAAGTGGCAGTAAAACCCTTGATGTGGTAGGAAAACCCATGATCGTGGGCACTTAAGGGGCCTCTGAAAGCACAAGGACGAGGGCGGGATAGAGAAACAGAGCTCAGATTGTGTTGGGCGGGCGGAGAGACGTCCCCGCCTGGTGGAGAGGGGGGAGTGGGATGCACTGTCCCCGAATGGCGCAGGGACCCGGGAGGGAAAGCCGGCCCGCGTCAGGTCGCCGAGGGTGGGGCTTCGCCGCTGAGCTTCACCGGGGCGAGCCATAGCCGAGGACCGGGAGAAGGCCGCGTCTGGCCACCCCGTCCATCCCTGGTGCTGGCACGAAATCAGACTCGCCGGGCAAGCCGGAAAGAGTCCTACCAGGTCTCCGTGCAGCTCCCGGAGCGGCTGCAGCGGGAGAACGAGACCCGGTGACGCTGACCTTTCCCATCTCAGCCCTGACCCCTCCGCACTCACTCCGCCACACGACGCTCTTCAGCCCCCGCTCCGTCACTGGCGGCGCCATCTTCCCCAAGCTGTGGAGCCGCCGCCGCCGCCGCTTGCCACTCGCAACCTACTTCGGCCCTGAAACCTGCACTCAGGGGCGGGCCCTTCCCCTCGAGGCGGGGAGGCCCCGCCCCCTCCGTAGGCCGCGCCCTCTGGTGACGTCATGAGCGTCAACAAGGGCGCGTCCAGTTTGCGCCAGGACTGAGGCTGCGTAGTGTGGGCAGAATTCTATGATCAGTCTGGCGCCCCCTGGCGGAAACCAAATTTCAGTGTCCAATTAGGCATCAGGAAACAAGGCTGTGAACACAATTTATGCAACTATGAATATATATATATATGCGCGAGGGTCTTTTCTTTTTGTATTTTAAAATTATATGTTTCATGTTCATGTACGTATGCACATGCGTGCATGCCCAGGCTTGCACGGGAAGGTCAGAAGACCTCATCTTTTTTGGAATCGAAATGAAGTAAGGTCTATCTCATGGGCCCAAATATGAAGACTTTTTGCTTTACAAAATAAATTTTCCTCCAAAGCTATGCAGAGAAATCCTGTGTGGAAAAACAAAAACAAACAAAATTAATTTTCATTACAGATGGTTGTGAGCTACCATGTGGTTGCTGGGAATTGAACTCAGGACCTCTGGAAGAACAGCCAGTGCTCTTAACCTCAGAACCATCTCTCCAGCTCCCTTCAGCCCATCTTTTTTTTTTTAATAGTTTATCTTTATTTTATTGGTATTGGTGTTTTGCCTACATGTATGTCTGTGTGAGGGTATCAGATCTTGGAGTTCAGACAGTTATTAGTTGCCATGTGGGTGCTGGGAATTGAACTCTGAAAGAGCAGCCAAAGTTTTTAACCTCCTAGTCCTCTCTCCAGCCCTCTTCAACCTATCTTAACGCCCATATCAGATAAATTAATTCTGATTTCTGGGCAGATGTGCTCCTGAGCAAGATTAGTGCCTAAATAACTTCCTCCTGGCCTGTGACCATTGCCACCACCACCACCCCAAAACCTGGTTCCTTCATGAACAAAGCTGCTGCCATCCATTTAGAGATCATATCTCTGTGATGAGAAGCATGTTAGATCTAGCATCTCCAATGACTCAGAGTCATTGGAGGAGTGCTGCTGGTGGTCTGGCAGCAGGATGGTAGGATTAATGGCCAAGGATTTATCAAAGATCAGTCTGACCTTATCTAAAAGAAGAGCTTGGTACATAGTCAGACAGGCATTTGACATCCACAGATTGGTGCCATCCCTCAGTAGGGTTTCCAGTGTGTGTGGAGCTGTTAGAGTTAGAATCTATCCCAATGCGAGTTTGTCAGCTTCTCTTAAAAGAATTGTGGTGACTGCAATGGCTCTTAAACAAGTGGGCCTTCTTAAGGCTACACTATCTGCTCTCTTTGAGATGTAAGATAGTGGCCTTTTGACCCAAGGTCTAAGTCAGGAATCCCTTTCTTTCATGGAGGTAAAGATGAAAGGGCTTGGGTATATCAGAGAGAGTTAAATCAGGAGCCTGTACAGGAGCTTCTTTTAAGTTCTCAAAGTCCTATTCATGTTTCTCAGTCAATCCCAAACATGTGTTGCCCCAGGCTTTAGAAGAATACAAGGGTTTGGCAAATTCAGCAAACCCAGGTATCCAAAGACAGGAATAGCTCCCAGAAACTCCTTAATTTGTTTTTTTTGTGGTTGGAGCTGACATTTGCATTATGTCATCTATGGAGGCCTGGGAATGCAGTCTTTTCCCTTCTCCCAGTTCATATCCCAAGCAGGTAACCTGGAATGAGCAAATTTAGATTTTCTTTTTAGAAACTCCATAGCCTAATTGATCTAGAGTTTCCAAAAGGCCTCGAGTAGGTCTCAAACAGTCCTCCTCATCTCTAAGGGCCAGTAATAAGTCATCCACAAACTGAAGCAAGGATACATTGGGGTACTTACTACAGAGGAGACTTAAATCGTAGTTGAGCGATTCATGGAAGGTGATGGGTGAGTTTTTGAACCCTTGAGGCAATGTGGTCCAGATTACTTGCACTGATACCCTCGTCTAGGGTTGGCTTGTCCAAATGTGACAGGGCGATGGAGAAGAATGCATCTTTTAAGGCCAATGTAGTGTAGACTTTATGCTCTGGCAGTAATAGACTGAGCAAACTATAGGGATTTGTAACAGTCAGATGAATGATTTCTACCAATTGTTCATTTCCCTGAAATCTTGTACTGGTATTTAATCTTGGGTTCCAAGCTTTTGGAAAGGGAACAATGGGGTGCTCCAAACTTACTGGCAAGGAGTAAGTACACCCATGTCAAGAAGACACCTGATGCAAACCTTCATCCCTTCCCTGGCTTCTGAACAGATGCTTGACTCAAATGGGAATAGCCCCAGGTGTTATTTGTACTATGACAAGTGGCACATGTTTGGCCAAGCCAGGAGGATTGTTCTCTGTCCAAACTGTAGGAATTTCCTAGATTGACATCTTTTTTCATCCCCCTGCCAGAGAATAGGTTGGACTTGGAAAGAGTAGATACTCCTCACTTGTTGGACAGGCCTCTAGCAGGGCCTCCTAGTTGCAACCCTGGAGTGTATCCTGAGAACATTAATGTTGCCTAGAGCTTGTTCAAGAGGTCCTGACCTAGTCAAAGGTAGGGGCTTTCAGAAATAAAGGTGAAAGAATGAGTCACAATTCCTTATCCTAGGTTAACAGTCTGGTTAGTGGTTCATTTATATTCTTAATATCCCTGGGTTGCCCCCTTTATTTCCATTTTTTTGTAGGCAAGGTGTCCTGGAGCTCCCATAATACCAAATGGTTAGCCCCCATGTCTACCAGAAAATTTACAGGTTGGCCCCTGATGGTGAAGATTACCACAGGCTTCTAGAAGCCTAGTTTAAAGGAATCTTGGCCTTGTCAATCCTCCAGACAGGATTGGGTTGGGAAGGGAGGGCTACTTGTTTTCATTTGGACATTGGTCCTTTTGTAAAAGGAGTTTATGGGCAGAGTTGAACATGGCTGGGGCTTATAGTGTAGTCACAGTGGTCCAACCCATTTTCTCTGCCAAAAAGATCTTTGTTGTCTCTTCTGTCGAACACATTTGGGGCTATTTCTAATAGTTATGACCTGTTCTTTCCTGCAAATTCTTCTTATATCTTTCTATGTATGTTCACCTTTTGTATCTTTCTATGCCAGGGTCAACTGAGCAACAAAGGCCAGGTTAATCACGTTGAGATTTGCTAGGTCATCTGGGTCTATGGGGTGTATAACTGATAGGCGCCCAGGAGATGTTCCAGGAAAGCTGAAGGCCATTCATCTGGGCCCTGTTTCACATCTGCTAAGTTAGTGGGCTTTCAGGCCACTGGTTTCATTTCTTCTAAAGAACCTAGTGGTTCTAATTGAGTGACCTCCTACATTTCTTTGTGTTGTAGTCACATTCTGGTCTCCATGGTGGCAAAGCATGGTCAATTGCCTCTATCCTCTGGTCATCTGTTACAGAATATTTGTTTAACTATGCAAAGATATGTTGCACTTGTTTAACTATGTAAAGATGTGCTGCATTTGTTTAACAATGTAAAGATGTGTTGCTGTTTACTTTGCCCGCTTAAGGTACCTGATTGGTCTAATAAAAAGCTAACTGGCCAATATCGACGGAGGAGGTACAGGAAAAACTTCCAGTCAGGGAGAATAAGGAGGAGGAGGAATTTAGGCTCTGAAGAAGAGAAAAAGAAGAGAGAAGAAAAAAAGAAAGAGAGAGAGACTCCAGGGAAACACCAAGGGCTACCCAGCCAGACAGGGAGGAAGCAGGTCATTCAGAATGAAAGAAAGGTAAAAAGCCCTGAGCCAAAATGTTGATGAATAGAAACATGTTATTAAGTTAAAAGAGCTAGTGGGACAAGCCTAAGCTAAGGCCAAGGATTCATAATTAATAATAAGTCTCTGCCTTTATTTGGCTGCTGGTTGGTGACCCAAAAAATATTCCAATTACAAATGGTACCTAGCATGGGGCCAGAATTTCCACATAGGAACTGGGCAAGATGTATCCAATCTGATCCGAGGGACAGGCCTTACTGAGGGTAACATTCACCACCTCCCAGGCTGTCTGAGAATTAAAAGTGCCCTCTGGGGACCATTAATTTCAAATGTGGGGCCTTCAGTTTCACAGAATGTTTGGAGGCAATTCGTGGTGATAGGATAATCATATTCCTTCTTGACTATAGGGGGGTAAAGTTTGTCATAATTCTTTAGAACACAGGGTAGAGGGCTGCTGGGCTTTCCAGTTATTACCCATACTGTCCTGTCCAGTTACTCCAAGATAAACCAATTAGCATAGAACACAGAAAATACAAAAGAATGAGACAGTAAAAATGTGGCCAAAGACAAGACAAACAAGACACAAAACCAGATCAAGAATCTCAGATAGGCAGTACAATGTCTTGCTTTTTGCCCTGGATGGAAGAGTATTGGGCCTTGTCATATCCCTCCTCACTCCATATCTGGATCCTAGCAGAACAAAATGTCACAGAAAATTACTATGACTTACCAAAGGAGGCCTCCACTGATGCTTGCTGCTTTTCTCGGCATGGTAGTTCACGCTGATAGTCTAAGAAACCAAAAGCATGCCTCGGAGCCTTGGAACTTCTCAAGGTGCACACCTCCTGAGGTGACCCTTCAGCCCCAGAGTCCTGGAGTGAAGGTCTGGCTTTAGAATTTGGACGGGTGGTCTTATCTCACTGGGGCCTCCAGAAAAATGTTACTACTAGTACAATTTTTGAGCCATATTTGAAGTAAGCTTTGTTTTACTTGCATGTGTACCAGAGAGCTAACCAGTGATTGTCTCCTAAGTCAGGTTAGAGAGAAAAGTGCTGAATCTGTTTCCCAGGACCCCTTTAAGGAATAAAATTGCAAATCAGGTTTACAGAAGGGAGACAGTAGGGCAGTTAGGAAGAACAGAAAAATCTCAAAAAACAAAAACCAGTCATTATCATATGGTCACTAGTTACTGAGGGTTAGAGTGTCGTCAAAAACAAGTTAAGGCCATAGGTTAGAACAGGTCAGGTTCCAGGAAACAGAAACTCAGCTCTTACAGTAAATGAAAATTTATTTTTAACAATACAACAAAATTTTTCCTGCCTTCAAAATGGAGTCAGGCAGGTTCCTTAGCATCCTGTAGTAGTCAAAAGAGGGTTGAAACATTGAATTCTTTAAAGCCAGATGTGATGACTCAAATCTGCAATCTCAGTATGCGGAAGATGAAAGCAGGAAGA